GCATGCAGCTTGATTGTGAAGATGAAACACCACATGTAAGTACCCCTGAACACAATGCCAATCAGTCCAGCCCTCATGCAGCATCACTTGAACACAGCAGCGATCAACCCAGTTCCTATGCAACTCCAAATGATGGCCCTACAGTATAACATGATACGCAAGGACACAACATGCTCACCTATTCCCCCACACATAAGCCACTACAACCAGCCACAGCAAACATGGAAATTGATGAGCATCTCTCCCCAAGCCAATCAGTAGAGACCCTTGAATCCTTTCCTATTGACTGGGCAGATAAAACTAACAAACACCTAGACAAAAACCAAACTGAAAAGGATGATACCAACAGCACTTCTGATATAAGAAATGCTCTACTCAATGAGCAGAAAAAGATTCTGCAACTATGTGAGAAACTCAACAAATGTGAAAGAACAGTCAAATCTGTAATCAATTTCTTCTTAAAAATTAAAAACGAACCAGTAGGCACCCCAAGAACTTCCCTCAAAGGAATCTTCTCAAAAATTAAGTACAGAGACCGCGATTTCTTCAGAACATTCGCAAAGGACGAGTTAATCAAAGGTCAACATCAAAAAGAGTATGAGAAAATTGAGAGAAAATTTCACTCAAACTACTGCCAAGCCAATAATTTGAGATACATCACCAGAACCATATGCAACAAAATCATAAAAATGATAAATAAGGCCTTTTTTGTTGCCTATCTTCATTCAACAGACCTAGCACTACTCAAGTACTGGCAAGTCTCCCAGCTTTTCGAGTATGAATTTAACTTCTTTATTGATCCCACACTTCAAAAAATTGACTATCAAGAGCTTTACAAAACCTGCAAAGAACTTATCCAAAAAAACTTATCTGAATTATACATGTGTTCATATTTAATTCAGACATTTTTCAAAAACCATATTATGTTTGTATTATTAAGTAACAATTAGTAAGTAATTGGAAATCATATTTAATTCATAATCATATTGTCAATCAAATTTCTTTTTATGGTAATAAGGAAAATGTATAACCAAGACTATATGTGTTTGATATTTTGTTATTAAAAAGACATATATTTTATTTTTTTTTTTTTGGATAATGAAGTTACTATGATATCATATATAATGTTTTGATTATTTGTTAACTTGTTTGTTTGTTTATTTATTAGTATGTTTTAGTTTGAAGTAATTTTAAGTTATATTTATATTACTGTTAATCTTTTGGTAAAAGTAAACTGATTTTGGTTTTTTCTAATTCAAGATAAAACTAATCATATAATAGTAATATTTATATTATAATTATTATAAAAATCTATGCTTTTCTTTCACAATAAAGAGAAAGTTTTGGTATCATTTTGTTCTTGTATTAATATATAAGGTTATCTTGTTTACCAGATGTAATTTTACTGATGCAAGATTTTATTAATATCTAGAAAGGTATCTAATTTAATGCATAGCAGGTTAATGGCTTGTAAAGTGCAATGCTAACTTTTTTCTTTAATTTTACTGTAATTTGTATTTTTTGTTTTCCTCTCTTTTCTAGTAAAAAGTAACAAGTATCTGTCTGTTTGTATAAAAAATAAAGCAGTTAATATTGAATACAGATATACTGTATATCTGTTGTATGTGTTCTTCTTTATTTTATTAAAAGAAATATGTATATTTTCCCTTTAAAAAAGATATTTTGAAATCTTTTCTTAAGTGTTTTTTGATATTATCAAAAAAAATTTTTTTTGAAATTTTGAGATTTTCAGGAAAATGTTTTTTAGAAATATATATTAGTTTGAACATTTAATTATTTATAAAACATAAAGATTATAATTTAATTTTGTTTTATATTTCTTTTTTTTTTTAAGTAGGTAAACATTGTCACTTTATTATAATTGTAAAATTGTAAAAAATTTATACATGAAGAAAGTAACAACATCTCTTACATAACCAATTAATCTGTGAGTTAAATGCTAGCTTGCCTATAATAAACTATCTAAGTTGCAAAGAAAAAGAAATATTAAAACCAATACATTGTCAAAAATAGTATCAAGTACTTATAAATACCTACTCAGATTTATATATAAAAAGATTATAGAAATAAAAAGAAATAAAATGCTAAGCAAAAAAATAGATACAAAAAAAACTTATTGTAAAGCTAAGGATGCTTCGAATAAGCATGTCATACTGGTGATTCCATTTAACTGAAGTACAATATGTATATACTTATCACAAACTGTCCAAAGTATACAGTAGTGTTGATGATATATTTTTTTGATAGTCGATTTGTTGTAATAATTGTGTTGTTGTTTTGTTAATATGATTAGTAATTGGTTTGTTTGTTGATAATGTAATTGATTTGTTTATTGATAATATGATTTTGTTTTAATAGTTGTTGCCAAAAAATATTTGGTTTATGTTAATCAATGTACAGTGTTTTGATAGTACAGATTTGTTTAAGTAATTGGTAATGTTTGATTAATTGGTTTTGAGATGTTGATCAATTGACAGAAGTAAACTGATTGCAGTTTTTTTGTAAAAATTTTTTTGAAAAAAAGTTTTGTGGTTTTTGTGGTGCAGCAAATTATACTATGTGATAGTAAGAAGTAAACAATAAATATATTGCTAGTTCTTCAAGTCAACAATATAAACATTTTTAATATATGATTTGGTTTTTTGATTTGCAAAGAAAATCTTCAAGAAAAGAATATAATTATTTAATAAAAAATGTATATTTGTAAAAAGTAAAAATGAAAAGAACCCCAAGAAAGATTTATAAAGAAATAATTGCTACAGGCCTTTCCTTATACAATTCAAAGAAAAAGCAAGAGCCCCAAACTTGCTTTTCTTTGGCCAGAGGTCCCATCCCAATGCACCAGTATATTTTTTTGATTTTCTTGAGATTCTTATAATGAAGATAAAAGATGTGTGAAAGACTTTAGGATATTGAAAGGTAAAAAAAATATTTGTTTTTTAATTTTGAAATATAATTACTAAAAAAGGAAATTTTTTAAAAAAAGTTGTATACAAAAAAGAGTTTTTAAATTTAATTTTTGTTTTATATTTCTTTTATAATATTAATTCCATTATTATTAATGATTTTAAAGATATTTTGAAAATCTAGAAATTTATTAAGAGCTTTTATTAATTAGATTAAAAAGAAAGATATTAACTGTAATTATTGGAAATAAAAATTTGTTAACTTTATATAGTTTAAAAAAAGCAACAATAATTTTTAGAGTTTTTGATTTATTTATAATAAAATAAATTATATAAGTCAAATCTGAAAATGATTTTTTAGCTGGTGAAGTTTTATTGTTATAATAAAATTAAATATAAAGACTTTGTTAATTTTGATATTTTTTTAAATTATAATAGTTTAGAGATTAAAAATATCGGTAATAAGTATATCTAAGAATTTTAACAATTCTTTTAATTTTGTATTCAATCTTCAAGTTTATATTAAATTTAATAGGTAAGATATAACTTATTATTATTTTTAATAGTGTTTTAAATCTTAAATAATTTTATATAATTCTGTTTATTTTCAATTTTTAGAACTACAAGTATATTAAAAAAATAAACTTATAGTTGATAAAATTATTCTTGAAAAAGATGCCCTTATTAAAGTTTTTAAATATTTTTTTTAAAACAAAAATTGTTTTTTTTTAATAATTTTTATTATATGTATTTATATTTGAAAAAGATTTTTTTGTTGTTTTTTAATAAATTATCAAAGATTTTAATTTATTTGTATATAAAAGTTGCATTAAAAAAGCTTTTGATTTAACTTTTATAAAGTTTACAATTCTTTTAGTATATTAAATTCTATTATATAATATATCAAAAAAATATTAATTAATTTTGAAAAGATCATTAATATAAATACTAATATATAGTTATTCTTATAGCAGTTTACATTATTTAATATATATGAATTGTATTCTGTTTGATATTTATATTTTTAAATTGATAGCTTAAGTTAATCAAATTCTTTTAAAATATTGAATATATATATATATAATAAACACTTTCTATAATCATAATCATATAAGCCAAAAATAAATTATAATAGATTAATTTATTGAAGACTAATAGATATCAAAAAAAAATTTTAATTTTGAACTAGGTTCATAAGTATACTATCTTTTTATTTATTCAAAATAAAAAGGATTAAGATATTCAGTTGCTCTAATAATCTTGCAAGATAAATACTCTTTAATAAGAACTGAATTAATAAATTAGATGATTTAGATTTACAAAAAAATTTCTACTTTCTAGTTAAATTTTATCTAATATATAAATTCACTTTTATAGTATAGGTTTGTATAATATTGAATTTAAAAGGCAAATATCATCAGTTAATTTAAGTATATATTAATGTCACTTAAGTAAATTGTTTATAAAAAGTAATATAATTCTTGCTAATTAATAAAATTATGCATGTGTAGTACTTAACCTAAAAAAAAAAAAAAAAACTTTCAATATACTGTATAAACTAAAAACTATACTTTATAAAATTAAGATTATTAATTATTAAAATAATAAACTTCCGACTTTAATTAAAATTTTACTTTTTAAAAAAATGTATTAATAAAAAATTGATTGTTTTTTAATAAAATAAAATAAATCATTTATCATTTAAAATTCATATTAAATAAATATAAAATTATTTTATTGAAATAATTTTACAAGCTAAAAGTCAATTTTTAAAATGTAACATTTATTATAAAAAAATATATTAAAGTTTGAAAAATATAAATAAAACTTCTTTATATATTTATATATTATATTTTTTTAATTATTTGTATTGTATTTTAATTAAAAAAATTTTTTTCAAAAAATTTCTGACTCATCCTGTAAATCAAAGGATCGTTGTTAATATTGAATTGATATTGATCAATAAAAATGTGTTTTTATAATGTAAATTACAGCAATAACTTCGAAGATATCGTTAATACAACAAAGAAATCCAGCCTAACTAGTAAAGAAAAGAACATTAACACAATAATTCTATGATATACTTGTACAAAGCCTATGAACATCATTAGGAATAACGTATTTCGAGAATATCTCAGGCAATTCGATCAATTGAACTACCATTCCCAATTCGATGTGCCATTCAATGTGGCAATGGAGCATCCAGACACCAGGATTGTCCGCGTAGTACCTGATTACACTTAAACTATAGGGATTTGATATGTTAATAGAAATTAATAGAATGTATATATGGGTTTCATAATAAATATTTACCTAAGTTCTTTAAGTGTTATTATGTCGCGGAATGGTGGATCGTCAAAGTTAAACTTTAAGGAACTAATGGGCTGGAGATTACTGCCTATTTCGCCTTGGGCAATAATCCAGAACGAGTGTCCGTGCTATTTAAAGTAATGGGTTAAAAATAAATAAAGGTACGCTTAATATCATAAATAGAACTTACCAAATGGAAAGGATGAGTTCGGTTTTCTGTATTGTTTAAAACAATCTGAATAGGAGAGTTTAATCCGTGATAATAATAGACGTTATCGGAAGCCGAAAAATTATCGCCATCAATAATTCTTTTATTAGTAGGATAAGTGAAGTCTGGGAAAAACGTTGAATTATTTATTACGGCCTGTACATAGGTATTTCTTAATATGACGTTAATTTCAAATTCTAAGGTTGTGAGATTCTCATCTCGTGGTACAGGCGGGTTCAACGGATAGGGTTTCAAGAGGCTGGCATCCATGTCATAGCAATCTGATGCGTTGATGGAAGGTCCATTGTAAGTGGGAAGCTTATCGGGCGCACCTTCATAGCGAAGTATACCAGTAACTTGATCGTTTTTGAATAACGGAGAATCAAAATTGAACGTATTATTGTTGACGGGGAGACTGCATTCTGAAATTCGCGCTTTTATGTAATAGCTATCGACTGGCTGATTTGCATGAACAACCACCGAATATCGCTGAGCAATGTTTATTCGAAGAGCATCAACTGTGGCTGGACGAACTGGTGTTCCATCGGTTTCGATAATAGTGAGTGGGTGCTTATCAATAGAAACCCAAAAATGAGACATGGCGCTCATATTGATTATTCGGAATCGATATTTTTTTCCTTTTTTCACTTTATAGGTAGCAAATTTAGAAGGTGTACACGTCGGTATCGTGCAGTTGTACTGTCCTACACCACTGATATCTGCGGAATCAGGGATAGGGTCAAACCCTGTATAATTTGCTGTAAATAAAGAGAAAATTATTATTTATTAGTAAATTAGGTGACTAAACATAAATGTCATAAATACTCACCACTACGAAGTAAAGGTAGCATTCTAGGATCGCCAGTAGGAGTATGATACCAATCGGCCACTGTCATCACGTATTCGTAGTCATATTCGTGTTTATTTGGATCATCAGGATCGTGTATTACCAAGGGACCCTTGAATATAGAATTGTTTCTTATTTATCTTGTTTTTTTCACGTAAAAAAGAATTTTAAAATAAAACATAAGCACTCTACCCTTAGGCCGTCAACAAGCTGAGCAAGGAGATGAGAATGATACCAGTAGGTTCCGGATTGTTTGGGTTCAAATACATACGAAAAGTTAATCCCGTTTGGAATCGGGCATTGAGTAGTCCCAGGAACACCATCAAACCAATTTGTGCCTTTTTGGTCAATCCCGTGCCAGTGAACTAGGTTTTGTAGATTAGAGAAATAAAATTAAATAATGACACGCATAATATAAAGTTTTATTAATTTCTGCCTACATACTAGCAGAGGGATCACCCAAACGATTTATCACTGTAATATTAAATTTATCGCCCGTGTTTGCACGGATCATAGGACCGGGGTATCTTCAAGACAGAGATAATTAATCAGGAGATGTTTCGGTCATTTAAGTACTAAGAGAAACGATACTTACTGTCCATTCACCGACCATACCGGGCGAGTGAAACCATCAGGAGCCAAGTAAACCTTTAACAGTTCAAATGTATAACTACGTGTTACATTTTTGGGATATTCTGGTAACGCTGTAAACGCTTCAAAAATATTGGTGTGGAATAGGGATTTATAATCTTTCTCCGGTGGAGGAGATGCAGATCCAAAGAGACCGTACCAAATTAGACCAATACATATGAATATTGGTTTGAACCACATTTTATCGTATCTTTTTTTTTTGAGAATGTGTTGTAGGGAAAGGTGAAAAGGAAAGCTTCTTTTATAACATCCTGTTGGATACATTTCATATAGAAATGGAATCCTATTTTTGATGCTTATGCTAAAGCCCGTTCGCATTATTCGATAACTAAACACGTTTCACTGCTCTATGCAGTCTGTATAAAAAAATTGTCCTGTTTTTTTGTAATAATTTAATAAATATTTAAAGGTCAAACGGCTTAAATATATATTTGATATACGTAATGCAAGGGCTTCGTATAACAATAAAACTTTATTAAATATTCTTAAATTTCCTTATTTGTAAAGTTACATATTTAAGACTTTTTACATATCTTAGGGTCAAATTTTTTTTGATACAGACTGTAAAAATCACTGCGCAATATGTATCATTTTTCTTTTCTTCATATTCTTTTTTAAATAATGCCATTCACCTTTTTGTGTTTTCATTGAGGGTTAAAGTTCTTACGCGCATTTTGCATGCAAATCGTATAACCAAAACAATAAACCAAAAATGCGTTCTTAAAGCGATTCGTCATGTTACAGAAAACATTTGGGAACGATATTTCAAAGTGTAAGAAGACTTAATTGGAATTACAAAACCCCTGCTTGTGTGTGAGCAACACTTCGACATTTAAGTATGATATGTGGAACTGAAATTATTTATAAGAACAATGAAAACATATTGTATTCCAAAGACCCAAGATTTTCGATCCTGTCCCGGAGTGCTTGATGCATTGTTCATATTTTAGAGTACCATATACAGTAGCAGGTTTTGGACGCGATTTTTTTTTATTATCGACTACAGTATTTTACAAATTGTTTTTTCTATTTACGGTCAAAAGAAACTGTGTACAAATAGTCTATATATGTTGATGATCGATGCATTAATTGAAAATTTTCCGGGTCCCGGTTTACTCGATATAAGAAAATCTGATACACGGGGTTTCGAAAAAATCCGAAATTTTTTTAAACGTAAAGGTTACTACATAATAAACTTTTTATTTTATTAGGCATATATGGTTTTGTGTATTAAGTAAATATAATTTAGACATCTAAATAAGTATACAGTGAAAGTTTCGCTAATTTGTAACAACATTTTATTATTAGCTTTTAGGGTTTACATTTGTGTGGTGATTTTTTTGATTTGATTTTGATTTTAATATTTATATTATTTCTATAACTGGTGTTTTAACAAGCAATATAATTAATTATCTTGTTTATTAGGTTTTAAATTACTTGTATACTAAATAATATAAATTTATATTAAATATCTAAAAAGTTATTTAATAAATAAAATTACTATTAACAAAAAATAAAATTTCAAAATTATTATCATAAATTTAGAATTATAATTTCTTGTAAAAGTTTTTATTTTATTATATAAATTGATCTCAATTGATTAAGTAAACATATTTATTATAATGAATTCTATTCATAATGAAAAATTTTTTTAATTTTAGAAAATTATTATATAATAATATACTGTATAATTTTAAATAAATACAAATTGTTAAATAAAATAATAGAATTGTATTCAAATTTAATGAAAATTTTACTAAATGTAGAATTCTATATTAGAAATATATTTACTTAATTTGAAGGTCATTTAAAGTGAGGATAAATCACGTAATATGATTTTGAAATTTTCTGTGTGTTACATATTATGTGTTACACAATTTCTGAAAATAACAAATAATTGGTGTCAACATTACATTATCATACATTGTTTTTTTTTTGAAAGAAGAAAAAAAAATAAAAATTTCTTTATCAATTTCTAATGTCTTCAGCTTCTTCTCCTTTAGCTCCTTTAATTATAACATCAACATCAAATTTCATACCAGACAAAAAGTGGAATTTTCTTTTCAATATAGACCATACTTTAGAGATTCCAATGGAGGTTTTTAATAATGAGTGGTGACTGTTAGTATCGAATATTTAGACGAAATAGGACTTTTATAAATATGTAAATGATAATGTTCATAAAATTTTCACCTGTTATTTTATGAAGCATCACGAATCGAGTACCTGTCAAAAAGAAAATGTTCCATAAAAAGTGCCAACTAATCAAGACATGGCCACCTGGTATATGTTCTGTGATGATCAAAGTTTTATAGATAATTTCTTCATAAAAAGTTTAAGTAGAGTAATATAATAACTTCTCCAACCATACACATAGGGCTCCAAAAAGTATTAAACCGGTACCAAAGTGGTATCGAAATGATACTGATTTATAGTAAATTTAATATATGAGTTATGACCCACTCATATAAATTTATAATAAACTTAAGTATCGAACTGGTATCGAACTGGTATCGAACTGATATCGAAATAGTACCATTAGGAGTCCTACATATATATTCTTTATTAGAAGTTGATAGAATAAAATAGTTGAAAGTTATTAGAGATCTAATTGAAATAGAAGTGGCCAAAAATTATTTGCCTCCTGCAATCATATCTGCTGTCAAGAAATATGCAATGTTAGAGTTAAGTCTTAATAAATATACATACAAGCTAAAGTGCAAAGAAGTAGCAAACATTAAATACAAAGTTCGCAGGCTTGCAGAAACTCATCTTAAGGAAAATCTGAATTTAAAATTAGACATTTTGGAATCCAGTTTTTATTTAACAGAACAGGAGTATTTTGTTAAAAATTATTGCATTTCACAATGATCTACTAAGGATGTTATATTTGTGCATCCAGAGTAACTAAAAAAATTTGAATGTTATAAATAGTTAACACTCATAAATTTAATATACAAAATTAAGACTCCTAATAATATCACTTTGATATCACTTTGATACTAATTCGATACTTAAATTTACTATAAATTTATATAAGTGGGTCACAACCCATATATTAAATTTACTATAAATCAATACTAGTTCGATACTACTTCAGTATCAGTTTGATACTTTTCAGAGTCCTATATAAAACTAACTGGTAAAACTGATGTCTATTTACTCTTTACGTTCGTAACACCTACAGATGTTGGAATGTAAGCACCCATTTTTTCGTAAGCAGTGAAGATATAGACACAATTACACAAGCTTTAACAATAATTCACAATATGTGTTGCCATTGGTTCCCTCATTATATACTTTTGAATTATAATAATATCGAAGCTAAGAGGATCAAAAAAATATTTTCAGCATATTTGCTGGTAAGCAAAAGTGTAAAGTTATTCTTTATATTGTTTACATTATAAGAATGTGAATCCAAAAGATTTATAAAAAAAAACTTGGGATACAATGGTTGCAGCAATGTACAAACGGATGAAAATTGGATACAAGGGTCTTGTTCAGAATACTATTAATCAATATTTTATCCCTTCTATACATGTGGTAAAAAATGATTTATTGGTGACACAATTATTTAAAATTTTTACAATGGTACAATTAATGTGATGCATGATGCAATTATGACGCATGACGCAATTATGACGCATGACACAATTATGATGCATGACGCAATTATGACACATGACGCAATTATGACGCATGACGCAATTATGACGCATGACGCAATTATGACGCATGACGCAATTATGACGCAATTATACAATTTTGGCACAATTAAATGCATATGATGCAATCATGTGACTTGACAATTTTCAATTGATGCAATTATTTTAATATGACGCAATTATTTAATTTGGTACAATTTTAAAATTTATAATTATAACAAAATAAATTTGTTTAAATATTAAATTTAAATTG